GGGGGGGGGGGTGAATAGTGAGCTTCATATTCAAATTACTTACATTAAACTGTTTGAAACTTCCCTACACCTAATTTGGCTTCTTTTCATCAGTGATTATGATGGTGATGGGAATGGGGATGGGGATGGGGATGGGGATGGGGATGGTGTTGGTGGTAGTTGCGGGCATTGTTTTAAAAAAAAATTTTTGTAGCGTTCAGTGTGCTGCATTGAACACTCACTCCCATTTTTCTTTACACAAGGTATTTCTCCTTTACTTTGGCTTTTCTACCAGAAATAGCGTAGTAGAACTGGTGGAAGAAAACAAAAGCCCTTTTCTGTCTCCACGTGATGAAATCTGTGTTACAATAGCATACACATTCAGGTTTTCAATTAAACTCTTCATTGCCTTAATAAAACAATTAATTATGATAAGTGTTACATGTAGAACAGTATTCCAATTTTTCTCTCTATCGTTTTATGGCCGTGATAATCCCCCCCACCAACAGCACCCGCTCCCTTTTTTGGCTAAAAAAAACAAAACCCACCAAAAAATGTAACCATTTGTCACAAGTCTGTCGACCACTAACTTTTGGTATAGTGCGGGCTCTTATTTGTATATTATATTATTTCGTCTGTGTTTAACTTCTTTTTGCTCTTGTCTTAGAGAAGGTACACGTGAAGTAAGCAAGATGAGACCATGCACCTGTCCCCTGACTAACATTTTGACATATTAAATTTCTTTTAAAAAACAAAACAGCTTTAACTTCAACAGTGGAGTTTGTTCTATTTCCCCATGGTTCTTAGCATAAAGGATAGGCCTATAGAGCAAAGACAAAAAAGGAAATATCTGTTAGACCCCCGCATTTCAACATTGTTTGTTGATCTGCACATTATTGTTTTTAGTCTAAGTAAGAGTTCCACGGCACTTGAAACGTAAATAGGCCATACAAGTGCCGAGGGATAGAAGTGTTACGAGACAGTATCATACCAAAATAAAAAGAGGAATAGAAACCCGTTAAGCATCAACTCGTTTTCTATACTGTCTGAAGTATGGCACAATAGACATGTAGGACGTTTATACGTTTGCAACTGTCGTAGGTATGTATCATCTTAGAAGAGAAAGTTTCATAATGTTTTAGAGCTTGACCCCTTTTTTCCACGTAGTTCCCGAGCTGTAATTTATCTTGTCACGCTGCTAATCGTATTCGAGATACTGAAAAGATTTTTATCAGTTGAATTGATACCTTTGTAACCTTTCATTTGGTCTGATCCATCTTCCATTTATCGAAGATGATACACATGTATTAAGAAAGATTTGCTGGCTTTCTATGATGCTTCAAGAGCGCGTTAAAAGTGCTCTTGGCGAAGACTCCTTTTTTGTGAGGGGGGG